GAGGCGAATGGACAGGTGAAGGATGCGGTGCAGCTGCTGGAGGAGGTGGTGCGGATCAAAGGGCAGACACTGGCGGAGGATCATCCTGATCGACTAGCATCGCAGCACAATCTGGCTGTTTATTTATGGGGACTTGGTCAAGAGTCTGCGGCTTTGGAGATGATGAGACAAGTTGTGGAGATCCGGCAACGAGTTCTGGATAACGATCACCCTAGCCGCATCGCGTCCGAGAAGTGGTTGCAACATTTCGAAGACAAAAGGCCGGTCGTGAACTAGGAAATGCTGTACCTTTGTCGCAGCTCCTCAGTCTGCATCTCAGTCCAGTGTGCTAACATATACCACAGCACAATAACCGCGTCCCTTGCATTCTTCTAAACTTTAGGGAAAATTCCCTACACGGAGGTCTATCTGAGTCGCATTCGTTCCTGTATCTAAGTACGTGAATGTCTTTGGAGTGTGAGTATAACGTCCAGCCTTTCTACGTCGGCTTTGTCGAGACCCGCGACGATGCTGTGATCCTGATCGGTGCTTGTGTTCGAGGCCAGTTGCGAGTCGTCCGCCGTCGTCCTACCTTGTCTGAACGACCGGTGGTGGCGCAAAGCGGACACGTTTTCGTCTATGAGGAGGAAGCCTCTGGAATACGGCGTTGGACCGACGCGCGACATTGGAGCCCGAGTCGAGTTCTGGGCGAATTCTTGATATATGGAGAGCGAAATCAGTCACATCCTGTGAGCACCGCCAATCAACCATGGTTGGGTGAAGCCGAGTCAGACAATCGACAACAAGCGCTTTACGGACCTTTGGTCAAATCTTTCCACATTGCACTGGGCACACTAGTCAAGAAAACCATCAAGGTCCCCGACCAAGACCATTCTGGCACCATGTGGCATGTGGTGTCCTATTACCGGCCTGCTGATGTTTTCCGAGGCCAATTCCAAACGCCGTCAACGAACCAGGACTTCAATTTGTCGCCATGGTATCAGCCAAGAGATTCAGTTGTGCCTTCCGGAACCTCATTTGGTGGTGACGAGATGAGCGAAAGTATTGTATCGCCAGCAATGCCCTTCTGGGAATATTCGTGTGCCACCGAGCATCATCACCAACCAAGCTGGTTCATGTTCAAGATGACAGGAGACGAAACCAGCCTTATGCTGTTGCTGCACCGCGGGTTTCCCATTTCAACGGTTGAGAAGAGACTTTGAATCGTTCCACAGTTCCTCAGTTGCAGCTTCAACGACTGGCTTGTCAGGGAGCCGGCCATCATCAGGGTTGGCATCTGGTTCATGAGTCTGTTCCTGTCTCTGATAAGGACCAATTGTTCGACGACATGACAGCAGTGGAGGACAGAGAAACCACTCCGCCATTAAACTATCCGCTGAGGGAGTTTTCACAATCCACACATGAGGAGAACGGGCAGTCGTTCGGCTCCAATGATGACAATGGTACTCAGTCAATGAAGGAGGCCTCCTCTCTTTTGAGATCACATCAGTAGATTGGAGGTGGAGAAGTTCTACTAACAGAAGGCCCAGGGGCAAATAATCACTGTTCTTTCGTGATTGGTACAGTACATCACACATTGTTGTGATCAGCGGTCTGAGCACTCACTCTATATGACCTCAGTTAGTCCTTCTTCATGCCTATAGCCAGCACCACGGTTAGGATCACTAGAATTGATCCCGACACGAGCTAAGCATGGCGCCTGAACGATCTATGATTGAGGCATGTCTCGTTAAGTCTGGTAATCTACAGCCTCTTCTGGAAGACCGTCCCTCTGTCTACGAAGCTTAGATGTTGACTTATAGGTGGGTTTGGCTCGGGGTGCTAGAACCACGAACCAACGCGATCGCACCGCAGCTTCCGATCGTTCGGGAAATTGATCAAAGATCCACGACCATGACTTGCCCCGGCGCCTCCATTCCGTCAAATTGTTATCCTCATCTAACGTCCAATGGCCTCGCTTCGTCGGCGGGGAAATTGTTTCGCTTTCGCTGGGACAGAAGTCGCTACTCGTGTCTAGGTCGGGTGAATCTCTTCTTCTCCTTCTAGCTCGGTCTCGTCTCTGATTATCCATTTTGGTAACACGTCGCGATATGGTGGCTGTGAGGAGCCAGCAACGCTCAGCTAGTGGCTTGAGAACGATATTGGCCAGGTTGTTCGACTGGACACCACGTCCAAGGGCCCAATCCGTAGGTGAGTGAAAGATGTCCTGAAGGTCCGCCGGACTGTCGATAATGGCGGTAACAAAGCCGGCGTCACCCAATGTCACAGGCTGGATGCTCAAGCCTTTCAACCTATCCTGATGCTGCTCTTGCCCGTGCTCGTTGAAGGGCTCGTCGGTATCTGGTGGCGATGTAGGAGTAGGACAGAGCTCGCGAAGGAGAAGAGTACGTCCAGTTGGATCGTCACAGTTTATGCTCGCGCCATGGTCAATGAGGGTCTGCTCGCTGTCCGACCCGTAGACGGGATTGTGGATTCCAGCTCTGACCTTGCGGCCTGGCTCGTGAAGATGAGTTTCTATTCCTCGGGAATTCGCGGTATCGTTAAGCATGTGAGGGACAAGGATCGGTGCGTTTTTGGGGTCAGCTTCCACACGCACTCGACGGGAATTTAGGGAGTCGACATCAGATTCACTCATGTATCGTCGTTTGTGGCCGGAGATGTGTTTAACGTGCCCGCCAAGGTGGGGAGATGCTGTCCGTCGCCTGGCCGCGTTCGGTTCCACCAAATCGTCTGCAGCCTGAGTACTGGAGAGATTCCGTTGCGTGATCGGTGAGGGACGACGGGTTGAGATCACCACCTCAATCCCGGGTTTGTGGCGCGAGGATGGTGGAGAGCATCGCTGCGGAGACGGTGCCGCTGTCAGCTTCGGTTCAGGGCAGTTTGATTCTGCCGCGAGGTCAATCGCGTCAGAGTTCGCCCGCAGGCCAGGAGTATCGAAGCAGACCAAATCGTCGCTTGGTGAGGAATTTACAATGTCGCTAGTCCCAGCGACCCGTGAAGCGCAAGTCTGAGCTGGAGCGTCCGAATGTTGATCGGACTCGGTCGTTGTGAAGCACTCCAAATCTGGCAAAACACCAGAAAAGAGACTGTCTAAATCGTCGTCGTCGTCGAGACGCTCGGCCAGGCCATCATCATCTATCTGCACGAGGGAGAAATCGTCATGGAATGAAGTCCCTTCCAAGGTCCATCCGTCACCCGGACTGTCGTTGTGCAGAGGGCTGCGGCAGAGCTCCTCGAGCGGATTCTCCGAAGTCTGATCTCGTAGGGTTGACGGCTCTGGAGTGATCTGTCAGTGATCTTACTGTCGGTTAGGTCAGAGTGGTCTGAGAACGTCTCATTCTTACCAGAACAGCCTAAATTGCTGGTGTGAGAGTGCTCCCGCAGCTGATGAATTCCAGGAACGGGTGTCACGACCCGCGGTTCAACTTCTGAAGTGCGTGCTCGACCCAAGGAAGTGCTGGAGCTGACCGGCGCTGCACTTACCTGTGGCTTTTGGCGTAGCCGAGGTTTGGAAGGGTCCTCGAAGATGATGCTATCCATGCCGAAAACCTGCGAGAGATATGGTGCAAAGAGCTATTGACCCAACGATCGGAAGACTGCGAAGCCGATATGGCCGCCGTAGGAGAGGTCGGGATGGCTTGCTTGATATAGGCAGGAGAACTGGCTAGGCGTCAGGAGTAATGGATGCCCTAAGAAGCTGTACTGCTAACATGCAGATCGGGGAAGATATTCCAAATCCCACGACTACTCGGGAATGAGGGGGCCCTTTCCGGACAGCCAAGGAGGAGAATTGAATTCTTCCCCTTGTCATCATGCTCTTGCAGGATCATCCCTGAAAGGGTCACAGATCATGGCTCTGCCTCCCTCGGCTGATCCTAGGGGTGTCCGCGTCGCGTACCTTGTCAGGGTCGTCACGGATCCAGCGGCTGCAAATTGCTCCGTACCTCCAAACAGTACGCGACCATCGCTGCGGTAACTCTCGAATCAACCGATCACCCACTGCCAAAGCGATCTGTGGCACAGCAGACTGCCAGGACAGAAAAGCGTCCACGTCCCAGATTGGGGCGAAATCAACTGATCGTCTTCTTCCCTGTCAAGGGTGTCTCACCATGTAATGGGACGGTCACATTGTGTGGCTGTACAACCCGACCACGGTGGGTGTCTTCGGATCCCTCGACGCAGTTGACATGTTCATGGGTCTAGTTGAGCGATTTCCTTCGCACTTAGCAGAGAAGCCAAGGTCATGCAAAGTCAAACATGGCCAGGACTGACTGTCACACCAAAAGGGTTGTGGGTAGAACTTGACGAATGGCTAGGTCGGAAAGGGACGTGGTCATCTGGGCCCCGTTGCAGCCTGACTGCCGCCGAGGCTGAAGATGCGATCATGCGTCGAAGAAAGTACTATCGTTGCCACTGTGTCTGGCTGTTGGTTGGGCTGTTCCGCCGATCATTTCACTCAGCGGCTTCCGCAACTTGGCCGCCTCCAAACAGGCTGCAGCTTAAGTTGCCGAAGCCAGAGGTCGTACGGGAAGTCCGGATATGCTCGTCGTGCTTGGATCGTGCCCTTGACATTCCATAGTGAGAATTGTAGACACGTATGTGGAGCATGGGGTGACGGTGGTTCCCCACGGCGTCCTCCTGTCACCCAGAGTGGGAGCAGCTCCTAGTCCATCTGTGTCTGCGAAAATCGCGTAACCCTTTGGCAAGCTGGAAGACGGAGCGACGAGGCCATTCTCTCAACCTCTAAGTCCACGACCTCGTTTAGAGCGGGGCGAGAGAGAAGTAGAGGCCAATCGGGCGACAGACCGTCCATGGAAGCAGGCCGACGCCGCCAAACTCTGAAATCCTCAGGCGTCAGGGCGGTCAGGTGGGCAGTGTTCGAAAGAACCGCGACGGCCCAAACAGATCCTGGCCAGGTCGGGTTGACATCGTTCGTTTGCGGAAGGGCGGCAGAGCGTGATGAGGGAGAACGAAGTTAAGGATGTCTCAACCCGCAACGCGCCATCGCCATCGCCATCACGGCTCGCAGTTCCAACCCCGTCATTCCCAGCCCGAGTCACGGATGCAGTTAGTGGCAGGATGCAATGCAACCCTCGCTGACTTTTCGAAAGCCAAATTTCTAGCATCAGAGGAGAGAGGCTTGCTTCGGACGGAATGTTGAGAGGGGGCTCCGCAGCCCTCACTCGGACGCATGATCCTTTCGCAGCCTCCCCTGAACAGACTAGCGCCGTGTGTGGTACCGTACAGGGCAGTGCTTTGTCTGCTCACGGCAAGAAGTTGTCCCTCATGAAATCGTTGATCGCGCCGAACGAGGAATGTAATGAGAAGTGTTCATCACGACGCTCCTCGAAGGCTCCGAACGGCACCCGTGTTCCAATTTGAGTCACCATCTCAGCAGGCTTCGAAGGCCCGAGGAGACCCTTCCAACTCGTTCCAGCTGCAAGTGCAGAGAGCCCCGATCAGCGCCGTCCCGAATCCTCGTGCAAGACGTCTGAACATCAAGAACCCTTGACCAGCTGAACGGTGGAGAGTGGAGAGACGTAAGACGACGCTCGTGCGCGTAGACCTCGTTGACCCAGGGGTGTTGCAGCCGGAGTAGCCAGTAAGATCCCAGACAGACGTGGATTCGAGCTGGACAGACGTACCCATCCTTCTCGTTCCGAAGCACAAGGGCGCTCCGACCGTCGCGGGTCACCGAGTGGCAGAGTTGAGTGGCTCAGGGTCCGCTTCGACGACGGCGACAGTAGCGCGGCGCGGACATCGCAAGATCCTGGTTGCTGCCGGGTGACTTGACGCTTTCCTCTTCCGGGACGATGGAGGGTGACGAAGAGACGGCACGAGGATCGACGAGGAGGAGGCTTCGACAAAACGGCGAGGGACGACGTTCTTTTATAGTGACAGGGTCGACGGAGGTCGGCGGCAAAGCGGCGAGAGGCCCTCGCGGTCAGCACTAAACCCCAAACGGCGGCGCCTTGCCCGAACGGGCGAGGGCCAAACCCGATCGGGACCGTCAAAGCGGCGCCAAACCGCATCGGCGCCAGAGCGAGTCCTCTGCACCGCGACACAGATTATTTTATATAAATTATAAATACTATCTATAAATAAATAAAGATACTAAAGAAATTAAACTAATTATAGAAAGAGTAGTAATCTTAATTAAGAAATTATAATCATTATATAAACTCTTAAAGAAAGAACTTAAGAAAATATTATAAAAAATAATTAAAAACTTAAATAAATAAAGATTTAAGAGACTAAACTTTAAAAAAGAAGAGATAATCTATTTACTTAGAAAAAACATTAAAATATAATAATTATCTAATAAATTAGATTATATCAAGATTAAACCTTACAAGATTAAAAGAAAACTTAAATTAGTGAACTTTAAATTAGAACTATCTAGAGAAATAAATATTTATCTAGTTTTCTATAAATCACTTCTAGAGAAAGCATCACTAAATATTAAATTTAGATTAGTGCTAATATATAAAGAAACCTAATAATTAATATATAATATTAAAGAAATCTAGAACCACAAATTAGTTAAAGGAAAAATACACTACCTAATTAAATAGTTAGAATATAGCGAAGAAAAGAATTTATAGAAACTTAAGAAGAATCTTACTCAGTAGATAGTAACTAAGTATTACTTAATTAAATAGCTTTCTAATTAATAGATTTAGAGATAGAGACCTTAGTTTAGATGAAGTCAAGATTATTTAGGACCACTTTATTATCTTTAGAGAGATTATTTAATATACTTAAAGTATATATTTCATGTTATAGTATAGCATTAAACTTTTTCTCTAACTTTGCTAATAACTCTTCACTCTTAATTAAGTTAAACTCTATAAAGACTAGATTCTTCTTAATCTTAGATATTTTACTTATCGCCTTTAATAACTCTTTATATATTTTAGTTATCGTGATATATAAGTAAAGAATATATCGCTAATATTTATAAAACTTACACTAAAAGATCTTTTTCTCTTTATTAACCTTATGAAACTTAGTTAGAGTAAAGATTTCGTTATAATCTCGCTGATGATAAATACACTCGATATATTTCATTAACTACGCGTGGTCATAATAATATATAGCTTTATAAGCTACACACTATAAGTAGACGATTATAGCTATATTTTTAAGGATAGATATAAAATTAGTAAATTGATATTAATAAGTAAACTAGAGAATAGAAGGCTTAAAAAATTTTGACTTTTCATGAGATAGTTTTCTAACATGGAAAGCCTATATGGTTAGTTATAAGGAAAGAATAAGAAAAGAACTTAAGAGAGAAGCACTTACCTTATATATATAGTGAATAATAAATAGATCTAGAAGAGAGAAAGTATTATAAGTTAGCCTGTCTATAGATTATATACTAACTCGTGACTATAGACATTAAAAGAAGACAAGTCAAGTGAAGATAACCTTACTTATAAGGCTAGTGTATATAACTTTTATAATAGAAAAGAAAGTATTATATTATAATACTAAAGTGCTATAATAGACAGTATAATAACACTATAACAGTGTAGTATAATACTATTTATATATATATATACAGTCATTATATAGACTTACTATATAGTTAACTTCATTTATAATTATATCTATATATTTTAATTATAATCACTTCGCTCTTATACTCACTTAAGTACTTAGTTCTCAGTGACCTTATCTCTTATATTTCTCACTTATTAGGAAATAATATATATAGTGACACTCTTAATAAAGCGAAATATAACAATATAAAGATTATAAAGAAAGTCTATCTCTTTAATTCTATATATTTAATAGCTAAAGCCTTAAAATCTTAGAGCTCTTTAATTAGTATTCTAAAGAGTGATAAAAAGTATTAATATAATACTATAGTAATTAGACTTTATTAATAATATACTGTATAGAGTAATAATATATATAATATAATAACACACTAAATTCTACTTCACCACCTATAAAAGTCTTTAACAAGGCATCACGACAAATATTCTATCTCTAAACAAGCTAGATAAGTAGTCTAAGATTTTATCTTTATTTTTAAACTCGCTTTTAATGATCACTCATCGATATAGTTATTAGCGTGACTATTTAGCTAAGCGTCTCGCCTTTTTCTCTCGCGCGACCTTTAATACTTTCTCTATTGAATACATAAATTCGCCTTTTAATCTAACTCTTTTGCCTCGCTTATAACTCTTTTAAGCCTTAAGTAACTTCTTTTGCCCTTAATTCTATTGTTAAAGAAGAGTGTTCTCTATAGCGAGTATTTTAATTATTTAAGTTACTTAAGCTATATATTACTTAATAGGCAATAGTAACTTTAGTGTCTACACTAGTATAAAATCTAATAAAATATTGAACTCTTAAAGTTTAATGTTATCTAAGAAAGAGCTATAGAGTAAGAAGAAGTTAAGATTACACTCTTTTAGCGACATAATTAAAATAAAAGTATATTGAATTAAGTTTTATAAGAGATACTTTAAGACTTTCTTTAAGTTATTTAGTATTAAATCTATATCTTTTTATTCTCTAAGAAT